AGTATTGTCGGCTCTCCACTGTACGTGCCTCCAGTTGGAATTTCCAGATTCTCCACGCATTTGGGAAGAACATCTTGCTAAAAAAATCCGAAAAAACGAGATATTGATTGAAAACCAGGGACTTTTTGCGGAAATTTGTTGCATATGGAAATAGAAAAGGGCCGAATGAACTCTATTGAGAGCTCTTGATTTTTCCATCGACTGTTTCGGAAGATGCATGCGGCTTTTTGCAAAGAGTTCTCATCTGCATTGACTTCATGACAAAATAACGCATGCTCCTGAGGTATTTTTTACACAGATACGCGATTTTTCACAACAAGATATTAAGGCACGTCTTTTTACTAAAACCCGAAACCGAACTATGAGACAGGTTCATTCTTGCATTTTGGTGAACGATAAGCTTAGAGCATCGTCTCAGTTTTCCGTCGAAGGCACTGATGACCACAGCAGATGGTCAGCAGTTACTTTCAGTCGCGTTCCCATAAATTTTGAAAATTTCGGACGATGATGACTTACGAAGTTTCAAGCATGTGCGTATTGCGTCATTGATTCTCTGTGATTTCTGTCGCGGTTCTATTCGCGGTTTCGGTCTGTTCAGAAGTTTTGGACACGTGCTAATCATCGTTGCATCCTTTGACGGTGGTGACTTACGAGGTTTCAAACATGTGCGTATTGCGTCATTGAATCTCCGTGATTTCTATCGCGGTTCTATTCGCGGTTTCGGTCTGTTCAGAAGTTTTGAACGCGTGCTAATCATCGTTGCATCATTTGACGGGGGTGACTTACGAGGTTTCAAACATGTGCCTAAAATGTGTAAATTTCTTCTGTCTTTGCACAGGTTTAGTATGGCCCGGAGAAACAGAAGGGATCCCCCCCCCCTTCACCCCCGTCCACCGATGCTTCCTGCTACAATTTATCCCGCAGCTACGCCTTAAATATCTGCCAAATGATCAAAACGATTTCCGAGGGAAAGTGAAGAAAACTCGTGAGAAATTGTGTATAACGGCTAGGATACCCAGACTATCACAGCGTCACATGAGAATATCGGCTACACGTTCATTATTGACCTCCTTCTCTGCTCCCCTCCCCGTACCCTTGTCCAATAAATGAAAAAAAATTCAGTGCTGACGGTGCCTCTATCTGCTGTAATCATGTATAATGCTGTTTTACCGCAAAATTTCACCAGGAGGACCCGCAGTTTATCACATATGCTGTTTACATTTAACCTCCGCGATGGGAAACTTGAGGTCCGCAGTGCCTCCCTTTCCAATGAAATTTATAGGCTTCAAATTATCAAACGATGGCGCTTCTTGCATGATTCTTAGGTAAAATTTTACGATCTAAAATATTTGTTCAGTAACTTTTCACTCTAAATTGAACGGTTCAAGAGGAAAATCGGTCATTCTCATGAAATCCGCGATTGATGTTAACTATCAATTTTTTTATGATGCAATTTTCTGGGGTCCAATGTCACCGTATAATCCTCAGAACAAGGTTTTCCACAGTAAAATTTTATTCTCTAAAAATTTGGTCCAGTAACATTTGGCACTAAAACCAATAGTTTTGGCGCAAGATAGGAATTTAGGAGGAAAAACGTGCAAATTTTGGGAATTTTTTCAGTTTTTCGGCCATTTAGGGGTGAAATTTTTGCGGCCTTTTGGCGACCTTTAGATATTCGGATTCTGCTGATTTTTCTGCGTTTTTTGATGTATAAAAACCTTTTCTTGCAATTATGTCCGGGTCCAACCAAATCTCGCCCCGACTAATTGAATAACAAAAAAAATCCCGAGCATGATACAAACGGGACGGTGTGTGCTAAGTAGACGGATACAGATGCACAGATAAACGCTGCGATAATCGCCCGGGTCATTTTCGGCTTATTTTCACGGGCCCGACCTGGGCGGGCGCCCATGATAATCGCCCGAAAATCGTTCTGCCGGTGGGTAATGAGAATTCATTAGCGCAATCTTGATCTCATTAGCCGCGGAGGGCACGCGCGCCGTTTCGGCAGCGCATGGAAAATATTAAAATCCGCTCGGGTCCGCGGTGCGTGGCTCCCGGTAAGTGGGAAAAAAAATTCGCCGGCTGTGTTGCCAAAAACTCGTGGAAAGGATGTGTCCCATTAAAGAGGGTATTTGTGCCCTAACTTTGGTCGAAAATTAAAATAGCTCAGAATAATGTAATGTTAACAAAGATGGAAAATTACATGAAATTTATTCGAGTGAAATTTCACGCGTGATGAAATTTCACGAAATTTATTGAAACTTTTGGGGATAAATTCAGGAGGCTAAGAAACGCCTAGAAACAGAAATTCTAAATTTTGAAATTGTCTACCCCAAGCGTAAAACATTCGCGCGTTGCAAATGTTTTCGTTAAGTTTAGAGGTTAGGTCGGGGGTTTTCTCTCTTAACTCCCCTTCTGCCCCCCTCTTTGTGTCTGGCACCTTCAGTAGAGTAGCATAATACTGCAGCATCAACAGAAGGACCATCTGAAACGCTTTCAGACCTTCAAAGGTTTAATCAATAATTCTAAAAAAAATTAATAAATTTCAACTTTTGTGAAATTTATTCGAGCCGTATGAAATTAATTTCATGAAATTTCTAAACGTGAAATTTCACTTTCCGTATCTGGTCATGTATGGTCAAATCGACTCTTTATCATCTACCCTGTGAGAACTTGTCCTTATATGAGGTGTCTTTGAAAGGTTTTTGCCTGATTTTTCAGCCCAAAGTAGTGAAATTTTGCAGCTTTATCGAATAATTGCTCATTTTCGGTCCTAAATTAGATTGTCTATGTATGAGCACAAGCGACCACCACTTTCTCCTTTAAATTTGTTGTAACGAGTGTACTATAGATTAACATATTCGAATATGAAAGTGGTAGTTCCTTGTGCTCATGCAGCAGCAATCTAATTTAGAACAGAAAATGAGCAATTATGCGAGAAAACTGCAAAACTTCCCTGCTTTGCGCTGGTAAATCAGGCAAAAACCTTTCTAAAACACCTGAAATAAGGACAAGTTCTCACAGGGTAGATAATTAAGAGTCGATTTGACCATACATGACATTATCGTAAGTTGTTTCAATTTTCGACAAAAGTTACGACCAAAATACCCTCCTTAATGGGACACATCCTTTTTGCCGTGATGGAAACCATCTTCGCAGTCCCACCGTATCAAATTTATTTTAGGCGCGATGGAAGTGGGTCAGCTTAGTTTTGTTTTTGTTTTATTGTGAAAGCACAAGCCGTTCGGAAAAGTTTACCAGCGATACGCACTAATTGCTTTAATAATAGAGTAACTGGCGTCGTACTTTCGGCAAGTTGTGAGGCAGTTCTGTAAATTATTAACGTCGAAGTCAGACGAGAATCGCTAGCGACCCGGAGAACTTGGATACTAGATTTCTCGGAATACAGGGCGACCCATGAGGTTAAACCGTAAGACTTCAGTACTGGAAGCCCCAGGACCCACACTACCGTGCTAAGGAAAAGCCTTCAGGCGTTGCCAAATTTCCCCTGGCAAATCACTGATTTTCAGGAAAATTTATGGGTATTTTTCTGCCAATTTCTCAGATAATTTTGTGTGTAATTAGATCTGGAGTGTCCGAAAAATTCAAGAAAAAATATTCATAAGTCTCCTCAAAAATAAACATTTTATCCAAGGAAATTTGGCAACTCTCGAATGATCATACGGCGTTCTTCCTTAGCACGGCAGTGTAAGCCCCAGGCCCCACACTACCGTGCGAAGGAAAAACGCCTCCCCATTCCTCGAAATGGCCCTCTCATTTTGAAACTCCCNNNCCCGCGCGCTCAAAGAAAAGAAAGAGTTCAAAAGTACAACCTTAATTCATCCGTTTTTCACAAACTGTCGCAATTTTGCGGAAAATACGAAAATGTTTCCGCGAGTATCTATAGAAACACGCCATTTCAACGTTTGCGAGCTGCAGCCTTCCCAATTTCCGCACAATGACCCGTGATCATGGTCGAGTGATCAGTAGCATGGCGTGCTTTGCGATTTATCGATTAATTTACAATCATAAAGAACAAACGTAAATGTGGATTAATGATTTTAACTTCCGCCGCCGCGCCTCGCGGACCGCACTGTGTTTGACGCAATGCGCGAAGTATTCACGCAGTCTTGTAGGCGCTATGCGTCTCGCGCTGATCGCACTGTGTTTGCCGCAATGCGTGAGGTATTCATGCATTCTCGTAGGCGCTATCCGTTTCACGCTGTCCGCCATGACCGCACTGTGTTTGACGCAATGCGCGAAGTATTCACGCAGTCTTGTAGGCGCTATGCGTCTCGCGCTGATCGCACTGTGTTTGCCGCAATGCGTGAGGTATTCATGCATTCTCGTAGGCGCTATCCGTTTCACGCTGTCCGCCATGACCGCACTGTGTTTGATGCAATGCGTGAAGCATTCGTGCAGTCTTGGAGGCGCTAATATGTGTTACATGCCGATCGCCGCGCCGCGCCGAGGGCTTCTCCTTTTCATCTCAAGGGCGTCATCATTTTTCTCTAGGTAAGTCGCCGTTCCAGGCCAAATTGCGTGTTTGGTTTCTCTCAGAACTCGACTAATTAAAGGTGCTGCCCCTTGTATCACCGAAAGACGACAAAAGTAGAAACTACTATACTTTCAGAAAATTAGAGATTTTGCCGCCTTTTCTCGTTTGAATTTTTTTTTCTAAATCCGAATTTTTTTTATACCTACATTTAAAAAAATTGCAAAATTTGCCGCTCCCTATAGATTTGCCGTCATGGGCCGCGGCCCGTGTGGCCACCCCCTTAAACTGGCCCTGGCCCCTCGTCCGACTCACTCTGGATTCGCCAATGGAGGAGTCGTTCGCATGACACACCTACCTCTCCTTCTCTATTGCTAATGATTAATATGTATATTATTCTACCTCTCCTTCTCTATTGCTAATAGTTAATGTATGCTAGTTGTAAATGTAGTTCATCAGGCGGCTTTCTGTTGATTTTCCCGGTTTTTTTGCTTTGTTTCAGAATTGTCGGAGAAGGACCTAGGATTCCTGGTGGAGCCGGGGGATCAGGTGGTGACGAAGGGTCGGACGCTGAGGCTGGACTGCAAGCCGGCCGTGGCGCGCCCGTACTCGGTCACCTGGTTCGATGGCTACTTCACCGGCTCCATGGTCCCCGTCAACCTCTCCGACCCCCGCATTCGCGTCGAGAACAACGGCTCCCTCACCTACAAGAAATTCAAGGTACGTACCTCATCCCTGACCCCATTGGCGTAACTACCATACTTGCCGCCACCGCCGGGCGGGGGGACGCAGCGATGCGAGGGGCGCAAAATGTTGGGAAAAGAAAACCGGAAAAAGCAGAAGAAAAAGAAAGAAAAGAAAGAAGGAAGAGAGGGAGAGAGAGAGGCAGAAAAGACGAAGGAAGAGGAAAGGAAAGAGAAAAAGTACTTAACACTCCCACGAGTGACTAAGTGTGATTTGCGTGTAAGTTTCACATTTTTTCATACTCTTTTGGGACTTGAATTTCCTCTTCACTTTGCTTTCTATTCTCATAGCGATACCTTGATTCTCTCCCATTTATTCAGATCTGAATGACTAGATGGGTAGGGGGAGGGGGGGGGGTGCGCCGATCAAAACTTCTGATATGAAAGGGCACAGCCTCGGATCGGCGGGGGCGCGCGAGGATATCTAGTGACGCCAATGCCCGACCTCCAAAGTTCGGGCCGAAAGAACCACACCTTAAACTGGAAAAAAGTTCCTTTCGAAAGTCAACGCTCAGATCCGCCTAGTGATGACTCAAAAGTGAAGAGCTGAGCAATGTGGTCCTAACTGAATTTGTGAAAATTCGCCCAGCGAAGAGCTTATCCCGTCATTTAGCAGCCATCATCAGGGGAATTTTATTTGATTTTTTCCTCGAGAGGTTGCTCAGAGTCCACCATTAGACGGGAAAAAGCGTTGATCTCCGAATTTGACCTTTGTCTCACTCAGTTATACATCGCTTACACTGTTAAACATTGTGTGATAAGAATTTTCGAGTAATGAGAATATGGAGTGGAATCTACTCTCCTCGTGGAATGACCCACACTACTACGGAGGGGAATCTACTCTCTTCGCGGAGTGCCATACGCTTTTATGGTGCTAATCTCACTTCGCATCCACGTTACTCAGGGTTTTTCGGCGCTACGTAGACACCGGCACAGAATTTCCCACCAACATTTGGACATATTGCTGCTAAACGGAACTGTAGACAAGAGAGAAAGATGGGATGTGCTCTAGAGAGCTGCCTAAGAGCCAATGTAAAATTGGGCGGGATTCCCTGAAAATCGGGATTTTACACTACGTCAAACGGAACCAAGCGCTAACTGTAAGTGGTACTCATGAACCGCGGGCATGGCAAAAGAGCGTCGTGGACAGGGCTCATGAGTTAAAGATCCCCGACCGTACGCGTCCCCGTCGCGCCATCGCCGCTGACGTCACTGGCGCTTTATAATTTCCATTCATTTTTACGGCCCTTGACTAACGAGCACACCCCTCCTCTCCCACCTGTCTCTAGTTCCGTGCAGCAGAAATGCGTCCATTTTTAACAATTCAGATACTGAAAAAAAGCCCTACTTTTGGGGCATATGGACATATCGTCCGCGTTGCGGGCTCAGAGGCCGAAAGTTGCGGGCGTATACCCGGAAATCTCGACCTCTAAGCCCGCAACGGACATTATGTCTATATAGCCTGTAACTTTTCTTTCAGTGCAGTTTGGATTGTTATCGTGGGTTCTCTAAAATATATCAGCTCTGCTTCTGTGGTCGCAGCCATCTCGGACTTGGAGATAGGTGAGAGATAGAAGATAGAAAAATACGCAGGAAAGAACGGAGACAGGTGGATGGTAGAACCCGACGAGCAGTGGTCGGCCGCGAGGCCTGGGATGTCAGTATCCGGGCTCTCGGAGAGGCCGTAAATAAGGCGGCTACGACTTACTCACCGCCACCGCAAGCTCAGTGCAAGTTGCGCTTGATTTACGGACCCGCAATCCTTCCGTAAGCTCGCCACCGCCGACACCGGAAAGCCCGCTTAAGCCCCGCCCCGCTCCGTTTCCTCATCCGCGGGCCGAAAGTAGAGTCCCTTTATACTGAGAGTAAAGACAATGTGAATCCATTTCCGATTGGTTCCCGTATTTTAGGCCTTCTCAGTGTCACAAACGGGAATAAAGATTACATTTTCACCGATTGCAAAGATTATAATCTGGAATGGACCGGGAATTACGGGTTCGGCAAGGAACAAACGGAATGAGAGAAGGAACGGAGAAAGGAATTTGAGAATGGGCCGATCAAAGATTACAAAAAACGTTCAATTTGTGTAATCTTTATTCCCGTTTGTGACTCCATGAGGGGGTGTTGTCTTCACTCTCAGTATAAAGGGACTCTAGCCGAAAGCATGGAAGACACCATAAGGGTCGTATTTACACTGCTATGATATCCAAGAGAGCAGTTTTACCCTTAAAAAACCACAAAAATTCAATTATTTTTCAAAAAACTCAAACCTTCTATTTCAAAATTGGCTAAAAACCCACCAGGCAGTACCTTACTACAATCTACGATTTGAATTTTTGATTTTGAATGGAAATCACACTTCAAAACCTTCATTTTATCATCAAATTCGATATTTTGGAGTCCGCAATTTGGCAACGCTGCCGCGGGGGCAACAAATTTTGTATGGGCATGAAAATTTCTGAACAATCACATCTTATACCAGGTGAAAACATACTAAAAATTCAGATCGGTCAAGGCAAGGATGAGGGAGAGGGGGTTTAAATTGTCGCCCCAAGGCCAATTTTGCTATTTTACCCCTAAAGAACCACAAATATGCGATTATTTTTCCAGGAGCTCCGACAATCTATTCCGAAATTGCTCAAGAACCCATCAGGGAGTACCCCACTGCAACCTCCAACTTGAATTTTTGATGTACATTCAAAGTCGAGAATAAGTGAGTTCAAGCGTGCTCGGCGAATGAAAACAACCCGACCCACGAGCACACGAAACATCCCCACGCTAACATTACATACTCTAGGTCAGGGAGGGTGTTATAATACTTACGGCATGGTGCAAGACACCGGAGCCTCCAGCTGTACCGCCTCCAGCGCCATCTAGCGGCGGGTGGCAAAACGACGAATTACGTTGCGAATCCCAATCCCCCTCGGAAGCGGCGATTTCGCAACTCGCGCCTCTCGCAACCGGACCGAACAAAGAGGCCCGTTCCGAGCAGAAACCGCGGATGTCCCTATGTTACGCAACAGGAGTTACGCTGTCGGGGCGGAGTGCCCGCGGATGAAAAGGGGAAATTACTACCTTGCTCGCGCGTAATCAAATCAGGGTTCATCATCCCTTTCAGGCCCGTAAAATCGGTGGGCTTGTCCCGCGCTCTATTATGCCGCGCTAGGGAGAAACGCCGTATCATCATTCGAATGTTGCCAAGTTTACTCATAAAAAGTACTTATTTCTAAGGAACGTTACACTGAAAAAAAATTTTCGGCGTTTTTACCACGGTCCGTTGGTACCTTTACCATCTCACTTTTCTTACTAATTAGTGGTAATTTTACCAAGACAGACTGGTAAACTTACCTAAAAACTGGTATTTTTACTGTTTTTTTCTGGTAAGAATACCATTTGTATTGGTAATCAATTCCCGGTAACTTTGCCATTTTAACTCGGTAATTCTACCACAGTTGATAAAAAATATTGGCGTTTTTACCAAGGTCCAGTAAAATTACCGAGAAAGTTCAAAAATTTTACCGAGATTTCTCGGTAAAAATACCAATTCCATAAATGGTAATTTTACCAAGAAAAAACTGGGATCAAATAGAACCCTGAATTCTTGGTAATTTCACCCTTTTCTTAGTAAATATACCGAGATTTTTTTTTTCAGTGTATGAGTGTTTTTCAATGAAATTTTCTGACGCTTTTAAGTAAATTGTGAACGAAATTCGCTGAAAAATTGGACGGGAAGTATTCGTAAGTTTTCTCGAAAATTCGTGATTTTGAATAGGAGATTTGGCAACGCCCTATGGTCCGCACGTCGTTTTTCCTTCGTTATGCCCGCAAGATTGCAGCCGAGAAGAGGGCCTACCGGCACAATTAAAACAAATTAGTCGAGCTCGTCCCAAAGTATACATTCTGATCGATCGGATCTTTTCTTCCAGGTCGGCGCCCCCCGCCCCTCCTCCTCTTTTTTATTTACGCATTGTCTTTAATTAAACTCCGCGCCCTTAATTTTATTCCGCTCTGAAGGGGTCGCGCGCGCGTAGTTTTAAGGATCTTGTTTTTTTTTTTTTTTTTTTTTTTTTTTTTTTTTTTTTTTTATTCTGGTCGTCCTTTGTCACTTTCCTTTCTCGCGTTTGTTTCAAATTAATCTCTCGTAACCGGGTATTGAATTACTTTTCCCAGCCGCCTCGACAGTGTTGCCGCTCCCTCGCGAGGACTCCGGGTTTTCCGTATTTTTCCCCGGCGATTTGGCAACGCCGCCGTCTTTTTTACTCGTCTTTTAATTTGCAATTCCGTCTTCGGGAGATTCTGCAACCCGAGTTGTCATGTCGCCGAGAGCTCTCTGAAAGGCTCGAGTAACCTCCCCCCGGAGGATTGTTGTAAGAGAGTTGTTTCGTGTTCCCAGAAATTAGCTACTATTGTCGGTATGAAAACGTTTGCTCGCGATGTATCCGATTGCGCCCTGTTTGTTCTCGATAACAAAGCTGGGTCGATGCTATGCTATGTTGTAAGAAAGAGGAAGGGTTTTTTATTGACTGAGGGCAACACTCACACTGCCGTGATAGCTAGGAGAATAGTAAGGGTCAAATAGACCACTAGACAAGGTACGAATTTCAGCATTCTGACTCATGTTTCTTAACCAAAATTTTACGCAAAACACGATGCGCACAACAAAAATTACCGAAATCAGCTCCTTACAAAGATATTTAATGATTCCTGATGCGTGAATTCAAACCACCCGCTCATTAAAACTCAATGCTCTACGTGATTCACATCGCGCGCTAAACGTTTCCATGGCACTCATTGCGATATGAAAATCTGACAACCTTATAATCTTGACTCTTTGGCTCAGCTATAGCAAATTGCTGATAGTTTGATCAACACATGGTGGGAAATGAACATTGCTGGATTGAGAAGCTTGCTGCAACCGTTGTAGTGCGCGATTTGATTCACGTAGAGCTTTGAGTTTCTTGTGAGCGGGCAGTTCAAATTCCTCGTTAACAAAGTGAAATACAAACGTTAATATCTTCGTCAGGAGTTGGTTTCAGTAATTATCGTTGTGCGAATCGTGTTTTAAGTAAAATTCTGGTCAAGAAACTTGTATCAGATTGCTGAAATTCGTACCTTGTCTAATGGTCCATTGTCGAAATCGAGTTTCCCTCAAAATTCGCCTGATCTCTTTTAGATGAAACAGCCAAATTCATCTTAGGTAACTGTCTAAAAAGGAAACATATGAGAAAGCCGTAAGTGCGAAAAAAATGACTTAGTTTCAGGCAGGACAGCAGTAAGTGACAACATTCCTCCGGAGAGTCAATGAAAACAATGCTTTCAAGTGAAGTGCCGCCCTCTTATGCCAATTTCTAACCTGAAACTGTTTGTTGCGTCCAAAACGCGACCACGAAAGCTTGCAGAAGATAGCACTCACGGCTGTCTTGCCTAACATGAAAATGAATAATACCATTTTGATGTACTTGAAAAAAAATCGGTCGGTTTTCAACCATCCAAAAGATTTCTAGGAGTCTTCTGAACGATTAGTGGCGATTTGACAAAGAACGGAGACCTCTTTCAAGAAAAGTTTCCGGTCGGACACCCCTAAGCCCGTTTTCTCAATACTTCATTTTTGCACTTACTGCTTTCTTCGCCATCACGGCAGCACAGTCGTTCCTTAAAGAGCCAGTCGGTCTGCGTTTTGCAATTAGGAACTATTATTTCTCGTGTTTCCCAGTATGCTCTGAGATAAGAGAAGGAATACTGATCCTGTAGAGATTAAGTTGGTCAAGTCATGAAATTTTGAAAGTTTAGTATCCCTCCTGTTCGTGAAGGGCTCAAAAGTATTTTAAAAGCTCAGACTCCTGCGAACTTTCGCGGAAGGTCAAAGTTTAATGCATAAAGTTTTTGATATTCATCGAAATCATTCTTGTATGAATTGACCTCAACTCGTCATGGTTGAACGCTCAAGAAGGTCTGAATTTTTTTCCAAAAGGCTGATACCTATGATTCTTGTCACGAGCAAAGGAAATTATAAACATGCATTTGAAAAGTATGCATTTTTTTTTCCTTTTTCGATATGATGTCAAGACATATAGTTCTACCTACCTTTGGAAGTACATTTTTTTTCTCCGTATTTTTAAAATGAAGCTCTGCAGTTTGTCAACGAGGCATCGTCCCTTTAAAGAGGCGGTGCTGGTGTTGCATCTTTGCGTCAATATTGATACAGCGGTGCCGCGAAACGTTCAGACGAGGAGAGAAGACAAGAAGGAACTTAATTTCTCAGGGAAAGAACCCTGTCTCTTGAATAGAAGGATATATTTTTGAAGAGCGTAGTAATTGCCTTCTCTTTTTCTGCTAGAATTCCTCTAGCTACCTTCTCCTTTTATGATTGAATTTTTCTAGCCTGCCAGGCATTTATTCGAACACTCTCCGCTCCGGTATAATGTACCCGTAATTTCCCGTACGATGTAAGTAAGATCCGTCCAAACAGCAACTTTCTTCGTTCAATATTAGCCGAGAAATCGCCCTCAGAAAATTCGGGGTTCTGACGTCATCCACCGCGGCAATGGCACCCTTGCTTTCTTCCACCTTGCTTTCGTCCGAGTTTCACGTTGAGTAACTGGTGCAAATGTGCGGAACACTGACTGATGAAAGCAAGGTGGAAGAAACGAAGGGTGTCATTACCACGTACGGTGGATAACGTCACAAACCGAATTTTTCAAACCGTGATATCTCGGTTACTGTTGAACGTAGAACGTTGCTGTTTGGACAAATCTTATGATTTTTAGCTGATTTACAAGAATCAAACATCAAATCTATTCTAAGACCGGCGCAACTGATCCATTGCAATTTACCTTGATCGATTGTTTAATTGTGAATTTCGAAATTGATAATTTTAATGTGAAAATACTGATCGATTCCCTGAATTAAGAAATGAACCCAGCCAACGTGAAAATACTGATTGATTCCCTTCTCTTTGCAGGGATTTGGTGAGGCGAGTGACGTGGGAACGTTCTGTTGCCTCGTCAACACAACTGTTGGGGCACTCTTGTCCAGGCCCGCCACCGTAAGGGTTACTGGTAAGTCTCAATTTATCTATTATTTATTATTTATTCTTATTCATCCTATTAGATCTCTTGGTCCACTATTTCCCTGTGCGATCACATCCTAAGCTCAAAAGCTATCTCTCAAAATTCAGACCTTACACTGGAATAAAAACACATTGGATTTAGAGTCCAGTCTCTTAAAAACATCGACAAAAAAAAGTACTCTCGGTCAATCAGAATCTAGCTTAAATCAAGAGCCAAGCCTCTTAATTTAAGCGGATTTCGTTTTGATTCAAGCAAAAATCCGATTGAATCAAGAGTATTTTTTCTTGTCAATGTTTTCAAGAGTCTGGGCTCCAGATCCAATGTGTTTTTTTCCAGTGATTGCCACAATCCAAGGGAGAAAATGATGTACTAACTAAAAGATCCCTCTTGGGTTGCCGTTAGTTAGTCTATTGCCAACTAACCTCCTTTATTCATTTGAACCACGCGCTTCCACCAATAGCATCCCTTCATATCATTTTTGTCTTCTTTGTCTATAGCTTTGTCTACGGATTTCCAAAATCAGCCCTCTGGAACATTTATCTAGCCGGAGGGGCAAAATGAAACTCCCTCACTTATTCGAGTGGCGGAATTGAGCCTTTCGGCGGATGCGGGTAGGCGGTATTTCCTAACGTCCGTGATTCTTTCGATCGATTCGTTGATGTAATATCTGAAAAGTATCCACAACTATATTGACATCGTTCCCGAATTTCGTCACGGTGGTCGCAGCTGCGAATGACTCAATCTGCTCTCCTCGCTTCGAGTGGTGTGAGTTGAGGTCTTTGGAGTTGAGTTGTGGCTGTGACGACGGCGATTTTTTGCGTTCGTGCGAAGTGAGCGCGCGTGATGCTTCGACCAATCGCCCGAACACGATTTTGCCGTGCCGAGAAAGAACGCCGTATGAGCCATCGTGCGTTGCGAAATTTCCTCCGACAAAACTCGAATTTTCAGAGAAATTTCTGAATATTTCTCCTCCAATTTAATCGGAGGATTTCGTTCGTGGTTTGATCTAAAAAGTCTTGAAAATTCAAGGGAAAATATTCATAACTTTTTTTTTTTTTTTAAATTAGGGTTGCTACAATCAGGGAATATTGGACAAATTGAAAAATGTCAGGGAAAATTACGAAGGTGTCGGGGAAAATTTTTTTAATTTACCTTTACCAGCTTTCTAGAGTGGATTTGACGTTGAGTACAACACATTTTGCCTGGAAACTATTTCAAATTATGTTTTTTTGGCCATAAGGCGTATATTCAATTGTCTGGGAATTTCACTCGACAGTGTCAGGGAAATCAGGGAAATGTCCGGGAATTCGATTTTATAATTTTGTGGCAACCCTGTAAAATAAATATTTTCTGAGAGGAAATTCAGCAACATTCGAATGCTCCTATGGCGTTTTTACTCAGCACGCGCAGGATTCGTGCCCGAAATCGTCGTCGCTCTTGTGACGTAAGCTCTATTCTCACATGAGCCCTGGAAAGCGTAGAGCTTTACGAAGAGCAGGGCTCGTGTGGAAATCAAGGTGCGCTCTTACGTTAGATGAACAACGAAAATGATGAGTTCGATAACTCTTTTTCACCTTCTTTCCTCTGACGTCTTGATTCTCGGAGAATGTACGGTCCGTTGGTTATTGCGTGTTTATCGTGATTTGACATCCATTAGACCGACACCGAATAGGTCACTAAACCTCGTGTGTTTTTTTAATATTCTGGAAGTACCCGGTGAGCAGATTGCGTGGTGATTTATTACGTATTTTTGGAGCTGATATCCTGGATAAGCCCGATTTTCAAAAGTTCCGAGACTCGAAGGAATTTCAAACGCGCCGCAATGGCGGGAAAATGATGGAAGTGCCGTACTGCGGCAGTCAAATCCCTATCTCCTCACGTTTCGTTTTGAGAAACATCAGTGGGAAATTAAAGCGATTTGACTGCCGCACGGTAGATCGAGGCAATTAGAGAGGTCGGACATGAATTTTACTAAAACTGCAATTTTGGACGTTTATTTCGTCACATTTGAAATTTCAAGGGGTGCTTTGGGAAAAAATTTAACGAGGAAACCAATGGAACCACTTCTAAAACCTCGAAGTTTTGTATAAACGGACCTGTAAGCGTTTAAAGTTTCCAACATTTGTCGGACCTTTCCTAGCAGTATCCGAATTTCACAGGCACCAAAGCGCCAAATGCGCCTAAGAAATCGGTCATGGCGCCTAAAAAATGAAGGCTGTCCGCCAACGTGGCCCCTAAAAATTGCCCGAAAAAAATCCCCATTTTGCTGTTTGGTGATATTTCGAAATTTCCCCCAAGTTTTGTAACTGAAACATCGTGCGTCTATCTTTCCACAGAATGCGCCGTGACATATAGCCAAGAAGTCAATTTGGCCCCTTAAAAATGTTCAATGTTTCAGTATAGAAATAAATAAGAATTTAATAATTTTAAATATTAGAAACTTTTTAAAGCTTAGCTTGTAACTATGCAAAAGTAACCAGTTTTACTGAGGTTTTGGACTAAATAAAATAAAATTTGTTAGTTTACACTAGTTACACAGATTAGATTTCACTAGAATAAAAAGTCAATTTGGCCCCTAAAAAATCCTCAATGGCCCCTGAAAATCATACTTGATGCGCCACATGGCTCCTGAAACTCAAAGGTGAGTTTCGAACACTGTTTCCTAGTGACTCGATACACTGTGCACCGCCTGGCGGAGCTGAGGTATTTAGACAAATAAAAATCAAGCTAATTAAATCAGCAGACCGATGCGATCCTGGACGACGCGGCGCGCGGGGAATGAGAAAAACCTACGCGGCCGCGAAACAAAGAAACGTGAAAAGTCCGAAACCGAGGAAGGAGGGAGGGGATTACATAAACGGCGAGTCAAGGATAGAGAAGAGAAGGGCGTAAAGGACACCCCGGGCAGGGGCGAGGGGCGAGGGGGTTGCGAAAATATTCGCGAACCGCCGACCGGACCGGCCACCGAGCCGAAAATCGCGAAAGCGGGAAAGGAAACACGCCTTCGCTAAGCGCTTAGCGCCAGGTCCGGGCCGCGAGCGAGGCAAATGGAAGTGGTCGACTGGCTGACCGCAATCAGGGTGTCTAGCATCAGGAAAAATCGGAAAATATCAGGAATTTTGGCCGATCAGGAGAAAATCAGGAAAATATCAGGAAAATCGGAAAAATCGAACGTTTTATCTGGAATTTCTCTTACGTGAATCTCCTCAGCGGAGAAAGTCTTACTGCTTTTTGCCTGCCGTGCCAGGAGTCGAGAAAAATCAGGAAAATATCAGGAATTTTCAAAATGAAAAATTCAGGAACTTTTTATACATTATCAGGAAAAAATCAGGAAAATACCAGGATTTTTCAAAATTAAAAAATACTAGACACCCAGGCAATGTAGTTACATACATTCTTAGTTACATTCATCTTAGAGTTACTCCCGAGTCCGAGGAATCGAAATATAGTCAAATCGGACTACTTTTTGCCACTACTATTTCAGGCTCATTTCACAAACAACATAAGGGTCATGAGCTCTGATACGCAGGTAGGTGATTTCATAGATGAGCCAAGAATAGTAGCTCCTAATTTCCAATTGTAGTTCAGTTAGTCTCGTACGGTGAGTCTAAGTTGAACCGGTCTCATCCTCTAATTGGACCAGATTTTGCAATTTGGAGCTATAATTCCTGGCTCAGTTTCGAAAAAACGTACGTGCCGTTGGTTTTCTTATGCACATAAGTGCTTTTACAGATGAGTCAGAAATTGTAGTTCCTAATTGCAAAATTTAGTCCAATTGGACTTCATTTTGCAATAAGGAACTACAGTTTCTGGCTCGTTCTTAGAAAAACCCATCTGCAGAGGGAAGAATGAAAATAACTCATCGATAAATTGTGTATGTTCCTAGAAAAGGTGTAGAAGAAGGATGTGTTTTCGGGAGAATCTTTCGATGAGAAATCATCAATTTTCTTGTCTAGTGCCGCATTATAGGTATAACCAGTGAAACTCCATCCCAAGGTTGCAAAATTGATTCTAAAAATAATGATTCAGCAGGATATGACTGTGCAATATCTTTCGAGGATTTCGCTAATTTTTTAGTGTGAATAAAAGAAAAATCAGTGGAATTCCTAGCAAAGAATTCTGAAAAGTTTCCCAGTAAAGATTCTATGCACGAGTGAAAATTGTGCGACTTTGAGTTGCGTTTAATGCGAGAAAAGCAAAATTGACGCAGCTCTAATCAGTTTGACAACGCTGACTCAACGATCGCTTCAACGAATGGTAAAGTTCACTCGTTTTAATTGAGCAGTCCGCGAGAATGGGCAGTTTTCCTCTCCATTCAGGCACGCTGATGCAGCATAGTTGCCGTGTCGTTGAGAAAAACAACTGATAAAAAGTCAATTCCTGTGTATTTTTAGGATGCATAAGCCTGATTAAGCAACATCGGCTCGCTGGTTTCGGAATGGGCTGCTTAGTTGCCAGGCTCTCATCACCAATAGCCACCTTCGCACTTAGAATGACGTTATTCGTGAATTTTTTTATTTAAAGAGTAGGCGAATTTTTGCGACCAAGTATGATACAGGGTTTCTACAGGCAGAGGAAACCTGGAAATGTCAAGGAAAATGACGTAAGTATCAGGGGAAAATTGTTAAGTCAACTTCATTTGCTTTCGAGAATGGGTTTTAGTGTTCCGAACAACGAATTTCTCCTGAAAACTATTCCGAATTATGTCTTTTAAACCATCTGGCATATTTTCAATTGTTAGGGAATCTTTAGAAAATGTATCCGGGAAATCAGGGATTTGTCAGGAAATTTCATTTCCCAAATTCTGTGGCGACTCTGAATTGATGTGACTGTAGAAACCATCGTAAACCCAGGATGAAATTCCCTTCGGAGGAAGTTTTGATTCCAACCCATCAGCAGCAGTGCTCCTATAGTGTTCCCCGTTTTTTAATTCATCTTCCTAGAAGGTGAATCCGTAGCCGAACTGTTAAAATTTAGGGGTGCAAAAT